AGAGAGAGAGAGAGAGAGAGAGAGAGAGAGAGAGAGAGAGAGAGAGAAAAGGGATATATAGCGAGAGAAACCGACATCCACGAAATCCGTTGTCATCGATCGTCGGCATTGTCAGTCGCCATTGTTCGTCGACTCGCGCGTCGCTGATAAGGGCGGCGATTTGCGTTTCGCGGCATTATCTTCAGAGGATAGTTGGCGAAACGGGGGCAGATTCTTTGTTTTCGTCACGGTTCATCGATCGCTTTGTAGCATGCGCGCGCGCGCGCGCGCTTGCACGGCTGCACGCTCCACTTCCGGAATTGATCGGAGAACGCCCATGCCGCGCCGGTCAGTCGTGGATCGCGAAAGAGGAAATACGGTGGCGTTACCTATCGATGCTCGATATGCTCCTTCTTTAATTTTTAAGGCAGAAAACACTCGAGCGATTCGATTCGTTTCGCAGCGAATGTCAGCGTTGTCTGATCGTATCATTTACGAGGTAAAAATGTGTCCAATTGTATACACTGACCAGTATGCCTTGGCGTATCCCAACTGCCAACTACAAAAGTTAATGTATCGTTACATCTTGATAATTCCACTCTTATTATAGACATACCGAGAGTAGCGAAATTGGCATTTGCCCAAATGAAACATCTGATCGGTCTGGTTCGAAATAGAAGATCCAGCGATGTGAAAATAGCCAAATGAAAGTGTTCAAACTTGCAAATCCTCCGATCCGCGGCTCCTTGCTTACGATTTTACATAGAATTCCGCGTGTGCGGAAGAGATTCGTCGACGAGACAGGTTGCCAGGGCGGTCTGTACATACATCGAGTTTCTCGACATAATTTTCTTTTTCGAACCTAATCGTCGTTAGAAAATGTTTATTCGCTCGTATAAATGTTGCTTACTTGAAATGAAATATCGTGACCGGGTAGTCTGTGTCATTGCCGTTGCGAAAAAGTAATCGTCAGATACCACGGTACTATCGTTCTACGAGTCAAACATCCTCGTAGATTGTTCTATTCGAAGCATGTCGAGATAGTCTCATCATGCAACGGTCCGACGCGACGCGCGACGCGACGCAACACGACGATATCCCATGGCGGCGACAGTCGAGCAACGATCACGAATATGCCACTTTGTTCCAGTTTGACGTTTAGGATGTTTAGGATTACGAAAACAGCTTTGCGTGGTCGCGACAAACAGGAGTGTAAATGTTTTATCGGTGTCGAGGTCGAGGTCGTTGTGAACGCTCTACGACATATCGAAGCACATTATTTTCTGTTGCAGAAAGATGATTCTTTGTCCAACTATGGATTCGAATAATGCGGGATAAAAGAGAGAGGATGGCAGAAGATTGAGCAGTTTGCGAAAAGTACTCGAGAGAAAAATTGCAAACTGCGATCGTTTGCCATGCAAATTCGTGCTAACCGCCACCGTCCGCGTCGTTCTTCACCTTTTGTTTTTATTTTCGCGTCGTCGTCGAATGGGGTTGCACAGGCGCCAGGATGACTCTCTCTCTCTCTCTCTCTCTCTCTCTCTCTCTCTCTCTCTCCAGGTATCTTTTGGTAACCTCCCAAGTCAACTTCCGGACCCTTGGCCAAAGTTCAACGCGTTCGGTTGCGTTAGGGAATTTTTCGACCAAGACCTCGCGCTCCAGAGCTGGAGCATAGGAATTCGAATCTTTCGAAACAAAGTATCGTAGTGACCGTTCAACGTAAAAACTGTTGTTCTTAATTTGTTGTTTGGATTCGAACAACCGAATTTTATGCAAAAATGATATTCGACAAATCGCACGTATAGAACTCTGTAATTATTAACGATAGTAATAATTAACGGTGCAACAGGATATTAGTGAGCTCGCTTTAGCATATTAAACGCACAAGTGCATCGTTAAAATTTACTAGTTGACATTTTACGCACTGCTCTCCTATCGAATACTCGATTCCACGTGCGATGGGTTTAACACTGTAATCAAAAGTTGGGTGTCGGCAATATGAAAATGTGATTGAATTCAAAGTTCAAAGTATTCATTTCTGACGCGTATTTTAGTCGGTTGAAAGTAAAAAAAAAGTTTATAGGAGGCGAGCTCATCTAAAGACCTATCCACCGTAATCTCGCGTCTAGCAGAAGCGAGAACGTTTCGTTGACCCTTTGAAAAAGATTCGAACAACACCGAAATACGACATTTTATGAATTTCCGCGAATTTAAGTGGAAAAGGGAAGCGACTTTCGTTCGCCAATATCGACGATGTCGTCGAGTTGGACCGTTTAATCGCGTCAATTAATTCAAGGGTGATCCAATTAGGAAGCTAAGAATTAATAAAGTCTGCGAAGCACTGTGTCCGCTCGGTCGATTTCCATTCCGTTTCACGCTTTCATCTTGGTTTTTCATCGATTTTATCCTTCGTTACTACTTACGTTTAGCGCCTCGTCGATGAAAACGAGCTCCAAGATATTCACCAGCCATCGGAATGAATTTTTATAGCCATGCCTCGGACTATTGTCATATAAGGCATATTTTATCGGCTGGTGGGTTTATCTCATTCTTTTTTCGGAAGAAAACAAAGAGAACGCAAAGGAATCTCTGGAGAGCTTCGGTGGTTGTCCCTTAAGCTCTTACAGTTATTGCGTTCATAGAAGAAAAGAGTTGCTAGGTCGGGATTGAAACACGCCGTTGATGTACGTTTATGCACCATAAAATATCCGAAATGTAGATTGCATTTATATCGATCTTTTCGCGTCCATTTACCCTCTTTGTCACCCAATTTTCCATCAATTTCTTGGCTATACTACCAGTATCGGCAAATATTCAATGATCGTTACGGGAAAAGTAAACACACGAGTCACCTGCGACGTCACTTGACCGAATTAACCAGACCGATAGACAGTTACAGTTTTGAACGAGTATGTAAATAATTGGGAAAAAGCATTCGGGATCTACAACGGAATTTCTCTAGTAATCGAAG